TTATTTATCTCTACTTTCTTCTCTCAGTAACATTTTGTATTTTCAATGTACAAGTCATATATTTCGCTAAATTTAGGTCTCAATATTTCATATTTTTAATGCTATTATAACTTTTTAATAGTTTTAGCTCTTCATTGCTAGTATACAAAATATAATTCATTTTTGTTCATTGATCTTGTATTCTGCATAGGTACACACATACATAGACACATACATAAACAAAGGTGTAGTCTTAAGACACAGGCACACCAAAGGCTTTGTTTCAAACAAATTATACACAGCATGCAGAGTGACTCCTACAGCTTTCACATCTCATGAAGGCTGTCATTTTGTTCTGAATCTTTGCCTAGATACAATGTAAATGCACAAATAATCATAGAGATTCTTTCATTCAGTCATTCAAGTTCTGATAATGTACTGAAAGGAAAGAAAGCTCCTGTACAGAGTAGGTGGAAAGGAAAACTCTCATTCACATGGTCATTACTTGCAAATTAAATGATCTTACTCTATTAAATGATGCAAGCAAAAATCTATGAGTAAGAATTTGCTAGCATGAAGTAATAGTCACAGATACTTTAGACCAGTGGAAAGAATATATATAGTAGACTCAGAATTACCAATTTCTAAAAGAGAATTGAGTGAGTAATAAAAATATCATTAAAAACATAAAAATACAGTAGCAGATACACCAAACTGGCCATCAGTCCAAGTCAAATATAATTATAAAACAGCAAATGTTTTCCAAAGATTGGTATTAAACATAGTTTCACAAGGGTCTATCCTGGGATAATTACAATTCACTATCTCAAATCTGGGAACACTTAATTGCAGATTAATCAAATTCTAAGATGATACCAAACTAGATGCTGCAAACAATGCCAGTGGAATGCAAACTGGTATAACCACTTTATACTGTAAAATTCAACATATCTTTACCAAATGATCCAGCAATTCCACTCCTAGGTATTTATACAAGAGTACTGAAAATCTATATTCAAATAAAAACTTACAAATGAATGTGTATAGCAGCTTTAGCCATAATCACACCAAACTGGAAACATCCAAGATGCCCTTCAATAGGTGACTAGATAAACAATGGTACATCTATAAAATGAAAAACTATTAACAAATAGAAATGAACTACTGATTCAGGCAATAGCTTAAACGAATTTTAAATGTACTTTGCTAAGTGAAAAAAAGCCAGATCCAAAAGCCTAGATACTATGATTTCATTTATATGTTACTCTTAAAGGCAAAACTATAGAGAAGGAAAACAAATAAGTGGTTGCCATGGGTTAGAGAAGGAGAGAGGAGCTGACTGCAGTAACTAGAAAGAGACTGCACAAAGAATTTTTAGGGTGCTGAACTGTTTTTGTACGCTTTATTTTCAGTCTTAATTTGTTTTGGACCAAATGATAAGTTAGAAAAACGATTCCCAAGTATCAGCTTGTTTATAGGCATCCTGGCTTATTTATTTATTTCGACCAGCACACTCTAAAGGACCAGTTGGCATGCCCTAATGTTTGGAAAATCAAATCCCACTTCTCTATGACACCAAACTAGAAGGATCAATCCAAAGCAAGTGTATCAGTGTTACTCCCCTCTTATACTTCCGCTCTGACACACACAGCACTTCTTCTTCTGACTCTAACCACACGGAGTTTCTCACAAATTAAAAGGTACAGTCCTCCAGACTGCCAATCTGCCCCAAGACCTCAGATGCCAGCCACAAGCTTGGAAGTCCCCAGGGCTCCCTCACTTTTCATCTGCTGGCTACAAATTTGGGTTTTCCCCACTACCCCTTCAGGTTGTTGTTGTTGTTGTGTGCCGTCAATTAGGACCCAACTCAAACCCTCCTTGGGTTTCTGAGGCTGTATCACTATGGAAGTAGATTGCCCAACCTTCCTTCCAAGGAGTGGCTGGTGGGTTTTAACCGAGCCTTCTGGTTAGCAGTCAAGTGCCTTAAGCACTATGCTATCAGAGATGCCAACATAATCTCAGAGTTCCCCAGCTCCCTGACTTCTGACCTGTTGGCTCCCACTTCTTCCTTGGGCTCAATAATTCACTAAAAGGACTCATAAAACTCAGAAAAGCACTATACTTACAATCATAGCTTTACTATAGCAAGAAGGATACAAATGAAAGGATGCATTGGATGAGGTCTGGGAGAGTTCCCAAAGGACGTACTACCCTACCACATGCACTGATGTCTATCATCAACCAGGAAGCCCATGAAGTTCCATGTCCAGAGCTTTGTTTGTTGTTGTTAGTTGCCATCCAGTTGATTCTGATTCAGGGTGCCTCATGAGTACAGAGTAAAACTGCTCCTTAGAGTTTTCAAGGCTGTCAGCTTTCAGAAGCAGATTGACAGGCCTATCTTCTGAGGCACTTCTGAATAGGTATGAACTGACCACCTTTCAGCTACGAGCACTTAACCATTTGTGCCATCTAGAGACTCTCCAGATCCTTTACTGGGGCCTCACTACATAGGTTTGAATCATGTCCCCCTTCCCAGGTCAGCTGATAACATCTGTGCATCTTTCTGGCCTGGCCTTGATTCACCTTATTAGCATAAACCCTCAGATGTGATATGAAGACCTCATCAAAGATACTTCAGTAACAGAGGAAATTTCAAGGTTTTATAGGTTATCGCTCAGCAACCAAGGAAAAGACCAAATTCTTTGGATAAAGTTAAATTCTTCACTCCACATCTACCTATTCATCATGCCCAGGGCAAAGTTTGTTAACAGAACCCCAACCACTCACCTGTCTGAAAATCAGAACAGTGACCTTCAAGATTTCAGAAAGATTCCAGACCAGAAACAATCTGTCAAGATGGATCTGCATTTATATATACATGAATGAAATTGCCCATCTCAGAGATAATCAAAGCAAATGGCCTTCAATAAACATGAACACAGAAATTAGTTTTAAAATAATAACTATCTTTAGTGTGCTGACAGGGTATGCTGTTATTAGCTGCCACTGGGTCTGCCCTGACTCATGGCAATCCCACACACAATGGGACCACATTGTTGTGATTCATAGGGTTTTCATGAGTTGATTTTTCAATAGATAAGCAGACCTTTCTTCCTAGTCTTTATTCGTCTGGACGTTCCACTGAAACCTGTTGAGCATCACAGTAACACAAAAGCCTCCACTGACAAATAGGTGGTAGCTGCATTTGAGGTGCCTAAGGCATCTAACTGCTAACCAGAAGGTTGGCAGTTCAAACCCACCTTCCAGTCCTCAGAAGGAAGACTGGGCAATCTACTTCCGTAGAGATACTGCCTCAGAAACCCAAGCAGGGGTCACTATGAGTCAGATTTAACTTGACAGCAGTGAGTTTGGTTTTGGTTTTGGGCCAGGAATAGTACCCAGGTCTCCTGCATGGCAGGTAAGAACTCTATGACTGAACCACCACCACCCTCTCCTCCTCCTCCCCAAAAAAAGGTTGTGGTGGTGGTGGTGGTGGTAGTGTCGAGTTTGACCCAACTCATAGTGACCCCTCCTTGGGTTTCTGAGGCAGTATCACTATGGAAGTAGATTACCCAACCTTCCTTCCGAAGACTGGCTGGTGGGTTTGAACCACCAGCCTTCAGGTTAGCAGTCAAGTGCCTTAGGCACTATGCTACCCGAGCTCCTAGTACACCAAAAGAAGTGTGGAAAGAAGAATCCAATTTAATGAACAATTAGAGTGATTACTACAAGTTACCATCACTTATGATACTGTGGTGGCTTGCCTGCTGCTGCTGCTGGAGGCTAAGCCACTGGTATTTCAAATACCAGCAGAGTCACCCATGGTGGACAGCTTTCAGGAGAGCTCCCAGACTAAGAGACCAGGAAAAAAGGCTGGGATCTACTTCAGCAGGTCAGCCAGTGGAAACTCTGTTGGATGACAACAGAAGACTGTGCTGGAGGATGAACTCCTAGGCTGCAAGGCACTCAGCTACACAGTGGCTGAAACAATGGATTTTGGCATACCAATCATCTTGAAGATGCCACAAAACAGGGCAACATTTTGTTCTGAGGTTACACTACCTAACTAGAAACAATCTGGGGTAATGCACACTGTGACTAAAAACACAAATCCACTATCATTCCCCCCCCCCCCAGAACTCGATAATAAAGGACTTTGAGAGTGTTGATGTGTCTGGATCCTCTCTCTACTCATCCAACAGATACACTATACAGCATAGGAGGACAGAAGATGAAATGAGCCTGAAGGAAAAAAAAAAAAAAAATGAGCTTAAGAAACTGCACAGTGCAAGCCAGGAATCAGTAAAGGGAGGTTGTGTCATCCACCTGAACAGAGATCCCTGCACCTGGCTGGCATTAATGACTCCTCCAGGACATAAAGCCGGACATAGTTGCAATTGCCTGACCACATGTTTATATAATTTTGACCTTCTAATTATCTATATATTTCAATCAGTGAATGCATCCCTAGGCTTTGTGGCAATGAGCATTTGGGAAACCATTAATGAAATCCAAAACCGCCTCCACTTGAAACATCGTGACAAGCAGGCCAAGTGGGGGGTCATCACCATCCTACTCCTAAACATAGAAATAAAGTTGCAGCCAGGCACCGTGTGGCAATCCTGAGGAAATAACACACTGGCCTGGTTAGGGGGTGGGGGGAACAAAAGGATGTTAATAGTAAACCATGTCAGCAGACACATGAGCAACAAGTATACAGACAGGCAGGTGGCCCACAGCACCGCGGGAGGGTCTAGGGTGCCCGCAGAGTCCGCGTGGTAAACAACCCTGAGCCGCACGCGCACGCCGGGGTCAGGCCTCGCGCCCTGCAGACAGACTAGTGCAGAGAAATAGCGCCCGACACACGTATGCTGTTTTTCAGGGTCCCCGGCACGCGTGGGCGGGGATCTGGGCCCGGCGCCCCTACTCCCCAGAGCGCAGCGCCCCGCCCCGGCCCCGCCCCAGCGCCGAAGGAGGAATATAGAGAGCGGCAGGAGGGAGAAGTAAAGGAAGGGCCGTACCCTGCTGGGTCCGGGAGAGGCGCGCACCAAGGGCTTCACCAGCAGCCAGGCGCCGGGAGGCCCGCGAGAGGGGGCGGCTCCCAGACTCCCGCGTTGCGGCGAACAGCAGCAGGCGGGCCCTACGCGACCCGGAAGGAAGACGCGAACGCCCAGGGAGGGGCGGGGCCAGGAGGGAGGACGGACTCGCCTCGAGGGCGGTGCTCGGGACTTCTGAACCGCCTTCTCCTAGGCTGGGGCGGAGCTTCCTACTAGCTTCACCTGCACTATAGATTGTCCAGTGTACTCCGCCTGGGGATTTGGTTGCAAATCCTCTGCGAAATAATCCCTCCGCCATTCGTGGGCAGTTAGGGCTTCTTCAAGCCAGAATTGGTGTATCAGATGATGGATAGGGATAGGAAAAGTGGAATAATCATTATAGGCATTCTGCATTATTCTTAAAGTTTGCAATCTCTCTCCTGCCCCAGATATAAATCCTTCTTGCAGGTTCATTCCCTTCCCAACATTCGGAACCCCGTGACCATTACCTTCGATGAAAAGATGTTCACAAGGTCGCCCTTACTCAGGCATTTTTAATAACTTTAAGTAGATACAGATAACTTTAAATAGGACAGTATCCTCCTTTCTTTAGTTTGAGTCATATTTATCTCGTTGCAAGGTTTCCATTAAGATTGGAAAATATTTAATAATGAAGAGCTGTTAAACGACAAATTATTTGCTATCTACTCCTGGAGAAGCAAAATAATAAAGATATTTATCTCTATATAAATTATAAAAATGAATTGGGCTAATTATACAATGTTTAGTATAAAATATATAATAAATGGAAATTTAAAATTAGAATTGAAGCTTAAACCCTACTCTTCCCCCCCCCACACACACACACACCCGTTTTTGAAGAAGGCCTGGAGGCTTAGTGCTTAAGGCTTTGACTGCTAACCAGAAAGCTGGCGGTTCAAACCCACCAGCCACTCCTGGGAAGGAAGACTGGGCAAGCTATCCCCCGTAGTGATACCCCCTGGGAAACCCAAGGAGGGGTCTCTGAGTCAAATCCAGTCTGCCCCAGTGAGTTTGCTTTTTTGTTGTTTGGACCTTCCTTGAGTGGGGGCGGCGCGTGGTGCTTCCAAAAGAAGAGGATGTGTGGGAAGGAAGAAGGGCTAAGTAACCTTACTGTGGAGAAACCTGGGAAATAATACCGGGGCCAGGTGAAGATTAACAAGTGATAAGTTGACCAAAATAAGTTGACCAAAAGCATGTACCAAAACATGAGGAGACCTTGTGGCACAGTGGTTAAAGTGCTCAGCTGGTTAGCCGCTCTGCCGGAGAAAGACGTAGCAGTCTGCTTTCATAAAGATTTACAACCTTGGAAACCCTATGAGGTAGTTCTACTCTACCCTATAGGTTTGCCATGAATTGGAATCATCTGGAAGGCAGTGAGTGGGGTTACTCTGAATATGGTGTGATGAGAAGGGCACGTCATCTTTGTGATACTCTTTTTCAAAATCCATAATCCCAGTCTAACTGTGAGAAAACAGACAAACACAGATATTCTTTAAAAATCTGAGCAGTTTCTGAGCAAAAAACTGTTCTGTTTTTTTTTTAAAAAAAAAAAAAAAACCACTCCATTCCAACTCATGGTGACTCCATGTGTGTCAGAGAGGAACTATACTCCATAGGGTTTCCAATGGCTAATTTTTCTGAAGTAGATCACTAGGCCTTTCTTCCAAGATGCCTAGCCATTTGTGCCAGCCAGGAATTCCCTCAAAACTGTTGAGATAATGAAGACCAAGGAAAGACAGATCATTGCAAACCAGAGAGGATTTAGGAGGTAAGACGACTAAATGTAGTACGGTCTTGGATGGCATCCTGGAACAGAAAAAGGACATCCATGGAAAAACTAGTGAAGTTGGAATGAAATATGGGATTTAATTAGTAGTTATTTTTACCAACATTGATTAGTTGTAACAAATATACCATTGTAATATAAGATGTTAACAAAAACTGGGTGAGTGGTATTGGCTGTACTATCTTGGCAACTTTCCTATAAATCTAAATCTATTCTACAATGAAACATGGATTAAAAATAATAACATGGATTAATAATTAAATAAAACTGACCTGTCTGTGATTGCTGTGAGGCTTGAGTTGATGCCTGTAAGATCCTCAGATTCAGTCTCATTGAAGCAGTTTCTCAACCCCAGCACAGGTTTTAAAGAAACTTTTCATTGAAGAATAAAACAATGTTCAGAAAAGGACACAAAATGCACAGTTCAATGAAAAGTGAACATACCCATGTAATCACCACCCAGATTAAAAAAGATCATTATTACTACCCAGGAGCCCCTCTCATACTCATCTCATTCTCTACCCCTATTTCTCTTGAGACTTGAACTAGTGGCCTGCCATGTTGTTTGATAATCTTGGGACTGTGCCATTTTATTTGTCAACCTTGGGTTTATCAGCCTGGCTAGAAGCTGCCTGAGTTAAGAGAAGCCTGTAGCTTCAGTGGACTGGGAGCAAGAGGCAGAGCTGAAGCTCAAGGTCAAGGGGCCTTGACCCTCTGGGGCTTGGCGCTTTGAACTCGGACTTCCAGCCTCCTAACTGTAAGAGAATAAATTCCTGTTTGGTAAAGCTATCCCATTTGGGATATTTATCATTAGGGTGGCACTAGGTAACAAAAACACTCCGCAAAGGCAAGAAGAGAAACTTCTAACACCATAGATGAATTTTACCAAAATTCAAACCTTAGATAGATGGAATCATACATTATGCACCCCTTCAAGCCTACATTTTCTCAACTTTAGGTTTATGCGAGTCATTCATGATGTTGAGGGGAATGATAATTTCTTGAGTTTCTATTGCATAAAAAACCAAACTCACTGCCGTTGAGTCGGATCTGACTCAAAGCGACCCTTCATTGGGTTTCCGAGGCTGTGCTACTGAAGTAGATTGCCCAGTCTTCCTTCCGAGGAGTGGCTGGTGGGTTTGAACCACCAGCCTTCTGGTTAGCAGTC